TCATCCGACTGATGATCATTTACCAAATAAGGTAAGATCATCGATGACCAAATTTGGTATATTCCCAGACTGTACTGCCATTTGAATCTATACCAATAATCTTCTAAAATTCACTTAAGGACTAAAACCTTTTTCAAGAATACTTTGAATCTTTTTTCAAAGAACCAGACGGTGATATAAGGATTATCTATTAAATCTTGGTAACAACACTTACTTGCATCTTGTTCTGATTCGTTATTAATTGGATGCTCACTATGCGGTATGAGTTTATAGAGTTTTGGCCAGTGTAAATCAGCTATATTAAAAGTGAAGAAAATCATTCCACATGTTTTTAACTATTTGATCATATTTGATAATTCAAAAAGTTATCTTTTCCAGAATTGTCATGTTTTACGCAAATTTTCTCCAAAATATAATACTTTGTCAGCAAGATGACTATCTCTATTTACTAACTCTTGGACTTCTTCAACACTAAGTTGTATACTATTTTGATACTGCTTTATATAGATTTTCCCTTCCTGTAATGCTTTCCATCTTATATACGAATTTAGCACAAAATATTACTATTGAGAGTATCATCCAAATCTTCTATCCTTATATTTAAATAAAAGCTTGAAATATTTGGCCGGTTTGACTTCTTTGGTATACTCTGCACAAAGATCAACATCGCCTAATAGATACAATATTAGAAATATGCAAGCAATATAACCTGAAGTATTAAATTTATTTATAGAAGTTTCTTCTTATTTAGCCACATAATTGCTTCGAAATCAGTTTGTATTCGAGCAAGAGTGTCATTAATAGCATATTCTTCATTATATAATGGAGCAGGAGTAGAAATAAAATTATGCATAATTGTATTAGTGGAAGCATTTTTAGAATAATAGTCTTCTGCATCTAAAAAAATATCATTATTCTGAAGTTCATCGTCTTCTCTTTGGAGTTGTGAAAACAGTTCTTCAACCATTTCGTCATCAGGTAAAGAATGTAACACATTATAATCAATGTTAATATTTTTATAATAATGATTGTTTGCCTTAAGCCAGTAAAGTGTTCATTCTACAGTAGATTGGCAAATGTTGAAATCTTTGAATACTTGCTGTCTTCTCAAAGACTGTCGATAAATAATTAAAGTTTCTAATAATAAGAGATGCCTAGGAAGTTGAGTTACAAAGTCTTTTACATCTTGGGAAAAATTAATTACATTTTTGTAATATGTATATTAACCACCACGTAGATAATATATTGACACAATAGGGAAAACTTGAGCTATTAATATTTCTTCGATTTCAGTTAGACCTTTTAATTCTTCCGGTACATTACCAGGATCCATATTATTTTTAGCTGAGAATTTCTTTATTTTACCCTTTTTATTATAAAACCATCGACATTCTCCTCTAACTAGTATTAATGAAGAAAAATATTCTTTGCATGTAGAGTAAAAACTAAAAGTACAATTATTTATTTCAGTACAAAATTTTTTTAGAAGCTTGAGGTTAAATTCAGAGAGCTGTTGAATATTAAATATGTTTTTGGGATATGCTATACTTTTTGTTACAATATTATTATTTTTCTGTTCAGTAGGCTCCAAAACCCATCTTCTTCTTTTTTGCACACTTTCATATACTTTCGCCAAACATTGTTCATGCTCTTCAGCAGTCTCTATCTTTCTTCTTTCTTAATAATTTATTCTATTATATTTTTGATACAAAGACATTTCATTCAAATTTTCTTTTTCCTTGCCCTTATATTTTAGTAATATGCTATTCATTTTTGCTTGTTACAAGATCTTGTAAGTTAAGTATTAATTAAACTGACAAGAGATTGAGTATACTATGAATTTTTTTTGTGCAGACAAAAATTTATACAATTCATTAGAGACTGTACTCATTGTGAAAATTCTTACTCGAGTAACCACACTTTGTTTTCTGCTTAAATTTACAAAATTATAGTTTGTATTGTTCTCATAAACTTCTTAAAAATTAGTAAAGTTTGCATTGTTCCTATACAACTCTTAATCAATATTAAAAAATATGTGGTGCATGTATTGTTATTTGCTAATAGGCTGTGCAAGTTGTATAAAAAAAAAAGAATAACGCGCATTAAAGACAATTTTTTTATACAGCGTATTTGTACAGAATTAGCAACATATCTGAAATTTGCCAAACTACTATTTTACAAAAATTATTAATAATCTTTATTTATTTTCATAGTTATATATTCGCAAGATATTAAAATTATAGTTGTATTTTAATTTCTTATAAATGCTATTGGCATTTAAGAGTGCAGAATTCATCCAAGTCAATATAATATACTATATTAGAATCATATATTAATAGAAAATCTAGCTACTATCCACATTTTGCATGATGGTTTACTATAGCATGATATTATTAAATTAGAGTATTTTTTTTGCTTCTAACTTGTCTTACAGATTTTATAAAAATAATAAATATATATCATTTTAAGTGTTTTTTGCTGAAATCTTGTGATAATTTTTTTTAAATAGTTAACTACAGCTATAGTATAATCATTTAAAGTATTTTTTTTGAAACATAAAGCATGTACAAAAATTTGCTATTTAATGTTTTGATGTTTTAAATACTTTTGCATTTTTTTTAAACCCCTTGCAATATGGAATGCTTTAAAGTTAAGTGAAATTTTAGTACTTCCAGTTTAACTTATATCAGGAATAACTTTAATTTAAACCTTGTAAAATTATTGTTAATAGACTAACTGACATGCTGATACAATTAAATTTGTTATCATGTAATGACTCTTGTAATTTACATTAAAAGTTGTATATAACCTGTTAAATTGAGTTATACTGACTGCAAATCATCATGAGAACTATCAATTCTTAATTTTTATTAGTTGTTTTGAACAAACATTGCATAAACATGCATTCAAGTTTGCTTAAACAGAGTGAGTCCTTGCTATGTTTTAGACAATAATACAATTTTAAACTTGAATAACTTTTAATCTACTAAACCAATTTGGATAATTTAACTACCAAAATGATCCTCTCAAAGAGAGAATTCAAATGAATCCAAAATCATCTAATTCTAATTATATGATCCAGAGATCAATAGAGTTTTGTTGTATATTTACTATAATAAATATAATACAAAACTCTATCGATCTCAGGATTATGTAATCAGAATTGGATGGTTTTAAATTTATTCGAATCTTCTCTTTTAGAGAATTATTTTGGTAGTTAAATCATCCAAATTGGTTTAGTAGATCAAAAGTTATTCAAGTTTAAACTATTATATATAATAATA